CTCTCTCTCTCTCTCTGTATCTCTGTGTCTCAAATGAATAAATAAAAAAATCTTTAAAAAAAAAAGAAAAAAGGTTTAAAATCTCCAGGGGATTTAGGTAAAGGATCACCCCTGGTCTGGAGCCTGCTCTGTGAGAAGGAGAGCTAAGCACCAGCAGAGCAGGATTCACACCCAGGGTCAGCCTGCTCCAAAGCTAGTGCCCTCCACCAGCCCCGTGGCCCGTTCAGAGGAGGGACGAATAGGAAGCCTGGGGTACGGTACCTATGGCAGCCTGTGTAGGAGGGGTGGAGGAAGCCATCAGACAAGGTCCAGCTCAAACCAGCACTGTCCCAGCCGCTCACCTGTAAAAAAAAAAAAAAAAGGCCAGAAATCTAATTAGATGCGGTTCAAGGGCAAAGTTTCAACAAGCAGAGAGGGGTCATTGGCTCAAGACCTGTGCTCTCCAGCCCACCAGCTCTCCCACTCCTTCCCCAGCAGCTCTCGGAGCACAGGAAGGAGCCAGAAAGGGCCCAGCCCCCACCCCACCATAAATCATTAACCCAGAAAACCAGCCACGGCAGCGCTGTAACCACATCTTCCCAGAAAACTCGTACCACCACAGACCTTCCTTTTGCTCAGTGCCCAGCGACCCCGGGCACCCTAGTGGGGCCCACTAGACAAGCCCCTTCCTCCCATCTGGCTTGCAGGGGAAATCCAGCCCCAGAGGTCAGGATCATGCTCCGGCCCCTGTGTTCCAGAGGCTGGATCATGCCTGAACTATCATGGACGTGGCCGGACACTTCCTCGTCCTGGCCCCCCAGTGACCACAGCTCCCTGGAGTCCGGCTCCTCACACCAGCCCCGCCTGCAGCCCCGCTGAAGACCATTCACTCTCTGTCTCTCCCCGTCCTGCCCCACAGGGTTGGCCAACTGGCGAGGGGCCACTGGCCTTAGCACATGGGTGTATAGGAAGTAAAGGGATACAGAGAGGCAGATGGCCAGAGGGAGGGGCAGAATCCCAAAAGCTTGGAGCTGGGAGCACAGTTATCCCTGGCCTCAAAGTGGGGGCTGTACTGGGCTTCCCAGGGCCTGCGGCCAACCTCGCCAGAAGTCCAAGTGGTGAGGGAAAGGGCTCTCCCCACTCTGCCCTGGCACCTCTGATCCTGAGCTAGGAGCTGTCCTTCTAGACCTTTCTGTGGAGGGGAGAATCAGTCCTGGAGGGAAAGCACGAGCCGTCCAGTCCAATCAGCCCCTGCCACAAACTGGCTGGTGCCAGTTCTCCTCTCCGATCCTAAAGCCTTTATTTTTCTTAACTAGCTTCCTAAATAAACATAGAAAGCACTTAAATGGCAATTAAGTAATAACAGCAAACATTCCCATAATGCCTACTATGTCTCAGATGCTATTCGCAGCACTTTACAAATATTAACAGCTATTAATCCAAACTATGAGAAAATGAGGCCCAGAGTGGTTAAGTAAGTTGCCGAAGATCACACATCTACTAAGGGGCAGAGCCGGGGTTTGAACCCAGGCCGTGGGCCCCCAAGGCTGCGCTCATTAGGTAACCATACTCCAGGGCCTCTCAAAACCCAGACGACATAAGGGTGCACAGTCCACCCCAATCCCCCGAAGCGACTGCCTTCACTAGGTCCTTGGGAGTCCTGAACGTTCCATGAGTGAGCCTGCTTATCCCCGTATCTGTGTACGTGTCTTGTTTCACACGGCAGGGGGCCGGGGGG